GCTAACGGCCAAGGAACCAGAAAGAGGAGGAGCTAACGGCCAAGGAATCAGAAAGAGCCGGAGCTAACGGCCAAGGAACCAGAAAGAGGAGGAGCTAACGGCCAAGGAAGCAGAAAGATGAGCTGCTAACAGCCAAGGAAGCAGAAAAAGGTGTCGCTAACAATAGAGGAAGCAGAAACAGGAGGAGCCAACGGCCAAGGAACCAGAAAGAGGTGGAGCTAATGACCAAGGAAGCAGAAAGAGGCGGAGCTAACGGCTGAGGAAGCAGAAAGGGCTGGAGCCAAGAGCCCTTTAATTCTTATTTTTTTTTATTTCTTTACTGCAACTTGTTTGGTCAAAAGCCCTTCTAAACTATCTGCAGAACATGTGAGTACGACACGACACTGAGGACTGAGCTTTTCATGGTGTGTGTGTGTGTGTGTGTGTGTGTGTGTGTGGGGGGGGGTGCGCTGTGTTACAGCAGGTGTGCTCTCTCACCTGGGTCTTGTTGTCCCGGGTTCTGCCAGCTCGTCTGGTAGGTGTTTCCCCAAACTCCGGTGACAAATGCCTGTCCACTGCCACAGCTGCAGATACACAAAAATAGCTAAAACTCGATTTGACAGACACCGAGCTAAAACCTGGTGTGGTAGTAGCTGCCAGTCAACCCCAACACGTGCTCTGAGCACCATCAGATCGTCCAACATTTTGAAATATGGCACAAGATAGCATGACCTTAAAACTGTGGCATGAAGGGCAGCAGGTAATATTCCAGTGTTTCCCCTACCATTATACAAGCGGGGCGCCCCGCCCTGTCAACAGAACCGAGCACCCCGTCTACCGAACCCCACCCCCAACCACCTGTCGGCACTGACGTAAACTAGCGGCTCACAATGCAGGTGCACTAGCTAAAAAGCTAAAGGCAGGCTCTTCCTTCACGCTGAACGCACCCCCGCCTCTCGAAAACGGTCTGTTCAGACGGAGCACGGCTCAGATGTGCGTCTCTCCTCTCACACACTCTGCTCTAAAACCGTCAGCACGCGGCAAAACTGTTGGTTTAAACAGCGCAGCTTAGGACGAGTCTCTGTTCCAGCGCCCCCCCGACAAAAATCACGGACGAGATGAGCGCCCCGCCATGGCAAGTTATCTAGGGGAAACGCTGTATTCAATCCTTTAATTTAAAACTTGGAGGTTAATTTTCAAGTTATTTTCCTGAAAATCGTGTCCGTTCGTTTGGAAAATAAAAACAACCGTTCTCCACGACGTCAGACGGGTCCGAACAGTTTCATCCATCTGATGGTGAGGAGAGAAATCAGCAACCCTCATATCAGTTTCATGTACCGGCATTTGTTCCCAAACTTGAAGTAACTTCAGCGGATGTTTGTTCCTGAGGAGACACCCGATGGCTGCAGGTCTGATGGGACGCCGGACGTTCAGTCGTTTAACGAGATTCGGGCGGACTCCGTTCAGCGTTTCAACTCGTGCTTCACTTTTTATTTAATCTTCTAAACGTTGTAACAAGCTTTTAATTCAAAACGTGCCTGTCAGACTCCTCCATGCAGGAAGTGAAGCAGAGGTTTCACGAAGCACGGCTTCAGGACAACAGCAGAGGCTAAACTGGGAGCAACGAGCCACGACTTGTGATTTAGTTTCTTACTTCTGGTGCGCCGCGGCGGTCTGGGTGAAGGGACTGAAGCCAAACCCTCCGTTACTGATGATCCCTGAACCCTGCAGGAGGTGAAGAGGAGCAACACGGTTTACGTTCTGTGCTCAGGTAAACGTCACACCTGGTGATGTGAGCGGGGAGGTGCGCTTGTTTTGCGTACCCCGATCTTGTCGTCTATGAGCTGGCGGGCCACTTCCATCTGCTGAGCGGTGCCTCTGATGGTGAAGACCCGGGTGTTGGGGTCGGTGGAAGGCGGCGGGTTCCTCTGCAGCTCCACATGAGCTCCAGACTGCTGGTTAATACTCTTGATGGTTTCTCCTCCTGAAGCCGGCAGCAGATTCATCAAAACAATCGGTTCAGAACAAATGGCTGCTTTAGACAAACACTGTTAGCAAAATATCTAATTAATTCCATCAGATCTCAAAGTGTTAATCAGATGTTATCATTTACGTTAACATTAATCATTTTAATCGATTATGTTTATTTATGGTGTTTATTGTCTTGATGGGGGGGTATTTGTGACCCCGCCACCCGGCCTTTAAAAGGAAACGTTTTTAAATCCAATTCTGTTCACGTTTTACAGCTTTTATCACATTTTACCATCCTTTCAAAACAAATGCTCACAACCTGCAGAGCATTTGGATGGAAGTGCAGCTTAAACTCATTTCAACTGCGGAAACACTGTGCGCGTGCACGTGTGTGCGTGTGCACGTACAAACCGCAGCCGTTGGGCAGAGCTGCACTCAAACACAACATATGGTGTCTAAACACAGACTACTTGACATTTCTGTTGTTGTGAGGCTTTTACTTTGGAAGCTGCTGCTCGACCCTCTCGACCTCGAGACACACATGCACACGCACATGCACACACACATGCACACACATGCACACAGTGCGCTGAATGGTTAATGGCTTTGCTCTCATCCTTTTGAGTCACTCGTCGTTCCTTTTATTCTTATTTATTTTGTAAAGCGGTTGAAGCCGTTTCGGACCCGCTGGGTTCAACGGTTCTCAGAGACATGTTGGCACCACCTCAGTGTTCTGGACCGGAACAGAACCACAAGGTCCATAAACGCAGGGTTTTATCTGACAGAAGAAGGAACCTCAAGCTTGACTCGGTCAGAGAAGCAGGTTCTGATTGAACCGGTTTCTGACGAGCTCCGACCCAAACATGAACCTCTCACAGGCACTCTCTTCAAACCAGAACCAGAAACACGGACTCTGGTACTGAAACCCGGCGCAGAACCAGCGCCAACATTTGGACGAGTCCTACAGTCTGCAGAGAACGTTTGTTACGTCCTTCACAAGATCAGATCAGAAAAACCACCAGAAGTTCTGAAGAACTTACTGATCAAAACCACTTAAAGGTTACAAGAAAGTCCGTCTGCTTGGAAGGACAACAAGGCGCGAGGATCGGATCAGAAGTTCTGAACTGGGCTCCAACAGGTCTGAAGAGGTCCGACTGAAGCGGACCGGTTCTCCTACCTTTGCCGATGACCAGGCCACATTTGTCAGCAGGAATGGTGTAGGTCACTTCCTGTAGAGGACTGGGAGAGCCCATCGCCCAATCGCCGCGACCTCTGACCCGACTGCTGCGCAGGCCGGAGCTGAACCCGTCCCGCTCCTGTCAGAACACACGAACGGGTCGGGGGTGAGACAAACGGGTCCAGGGTGAGAGCGGCTCGGCGAGTCCGACCACATCGTAGAGGTTGAGGGGTGTGAGCGCAGCGGCGGTACCTGGGCGGTCTGGATGAGCTCGTTGATGAGGTGGACGGCGTGCTGACAGCGCTCCGGCTGACCCATCACCATGGCAACACGCTCTGGACTGATGCCGTCATCTGAAGGCGGAGTCAAAAGAAAAAAAAAAAAACAGACCAAACCAGTTTGAGTCTGAATTTAACTGATGTAAACACTTAAACTGGATTTATCTGCACCAATTAAACAAACAAAAGGGCAAGTTTATAAACATTAACCAAAACTAGAACGTTCCTGGAGAAAGTGACGGGGTCTGCCAGGCAGCTGCGGCAGCTGTGGCAGCCATCTTGAATCAAACTGGCCCCAAACGTTAATCAGTTCTAGACGTTGATCTGATGAAACGAATCCAGCATCGAGTTTCTGTTTCCTTCAGGCAAGTAAGTAAAGTTCATTTATAAAGAGCTCATCAGACATCAAATCACAAAGTGCTGTCCAATAAAATCAACGTTCAAACAGACAAAGAATAAAACGAGAATAAGAAGCACATTAAAATTGTGACATAAAAGCTTTTTAAAAAGCTCCAGAGTCTGAAGCTGCAGGTCAAACTGGTCCACAGCCTGGGGGCCACAGACTGAAACGTCCTGTCCCCTTTAGATTTCAGCCGCGTACGTGGAACAACCAAGAGGTTCTGAGTGTGGGAGCCAAGGCCACGAGCAGCACAGTGTTTGGTTAGAAGCTGACAAAGATGCACAGGAGCCATTTGAAGCTCTGAACGTCAGCACCAGAACCTTCAAACTGATTCTAGACTCCACTGGGAACCAGTGCAGTGAGTATAGAACCGGAGTGATGTGACTGGATCTGGATTGGTGAGAAGTCCGGCAGCTGCGTTCTGCATCACTTGTAGACGTGAGACAGAAGACATGTCCAGGCAGGTAAGGAGGACATTACAGTCGTCCAGACGTGATGACACAAAAGCGTGAGTAATTTTCTCAAGGTCAACTGTGGAGACCAAAGGTCGTATTTTAGAAACGTTTCTTAAATGAAGGTGACTTGACAGCAGTAGTTGGTGTGAGGAGTGTTTTATTTATTTCCTATAGGGAAATATGGCGGCTTTGTTACAAAACATGAGTGCTTCGTTGATCTGATCAGGTTAATTAGCTGCATTGCATGTTGAATCAAAATGGCTCCAAATGTTACTCAGTTTCTGTGAAAAATTTTCTTCCATTCATTTCCTATGAGATATTTGGCATCTTTGTTAGCAAAATAGGTCGCCATGGTAACTCAGATTGCCAATAAAAGTAATAGCACCTTTCTCGGAGCCGGGCCGGTCGTTTTGATGTAACTTTTGTGGGGGTCCACGTTGCGGTTCGGGCCACATTAACGGAGACAGAATAAATAAAATAAAGGAAGGCTTGTTGGGCCATGCTTTGCTCTCCTGTGCATCACAATGAAAGTCCCCGATAATAAAAATATTAATGAAAAGAAACAAACTAATCAAATTATATTTAATTCAGCTTCATCGATGATTAAAAAACATCTGTAGAAAACATCTGGAGCATAAGACGACGACAGAATGACAGCACCCACTCTGCTATCAGTTTAGCTTCTAGCTGCTGGATTACTACAGCCTGCCAACTTGAGACCGCAGCTACTGGTCGGAACACTTAGCTTGTTTTGTTGTTTTATTTTGTCCATAACTGTTGTGAACTCGTGCTATGCTTTTCATGTTGCTGCTGATCTGTTTCATGTTGCTGCTGATCTGTTTCATGCTGCTGCTGATCTGTTTCATGCTGCTGCTGATCTGTTTCATGTTGCTGCTGATCTGTTTCAATGTTGATGTGTTCATGCGTGCACATCTGCTCACAGACTCATGTTCATGTTTGTGCTGATGTTCAATGTTTTATGTTATGAGTGCTTAGTGTATATTTAGTTGATGTTTTTCTTAGTTCATATCTTAGATGTTATTACTGTTTTTCTTATACATTTTATTGTTGGATGTAACTGGGACCCTGTGGACATAATTTCGCTCCACCACATGTACCACATGAGGTGCGAATGACAATAAAGAAACTGACTCTCTGACTCTGCTGGTTTTAGCTCTTGCTCAGTTTAGCTTGCCATCGTTTTACCTCGCGCTCGGCTTGTTTTAGTTCATTCTTGGCTGGTTTTAGTTCATTCTTGGCTGGTTTTAGCTATTCTTGGCTGGTTTTAGTTCATTCTTGGCTGGTTTTAGCTATTCTTGGCTGGTTTTAGCTATTCTTGGCTGGTTTTAGTTCATTCTTGGCTGGTTTTAGCTCATTCTTGGCTGGTTTTAGCTATTCTTGGCTGGTTTTAGCTCATTCTTGGCTGGTTTTAGCTATTCTT